CAGCAGCAGCAACATGTGCATCAAACATCACGTGTGAGCAGAAGGAGAATCCCAAAGCCACTTCCTGTGTGGAGACTTTTCATGTGTCGTCTATGTGCAGCTGCTCGTGTTACTCTGTGTGTGTTTTTGTTCGTGATCACGTGTCCGATTCGTTGCACGTGCTTCGTTCTTCTTCTGTGGTTTTGATCTCGTACCTGCTGCTCTCCATCTCCGCCCCTTCGTCCGAGCTGATCTCGATGCTGAACATGTCCTCGTCGGCCGAGTAGTCGCCGCTCTCCTCCCGCCTCACGCTGTCCGCCCGCGACTTCCTCCTCCTCTTCCTCCTCTTCTTCATCAGGCCGGTCTCGGCGCCGCCGCCCAGCGAGCCCAGCGTCTGGATGGAGGGCCCGGAGGTCTTCAGCAGGCCGGAGCTCATCATGGCCTCGTCGGACAGGATGGGGGACGTGGCCAGGTAGGACGGGACCACTTCCTGTTTGGAGGGGACATAAGTAAGGTCACACAGAGGTCCAGGTACTCAAACACGGTACTTCATTACACTGCTGAGGTACTTTAATTGAGTATTTCCCCGTTCTGCTGCGTTCTTCTTTCATCTTTCTACATCTCAGAGGAAATTATTGGACGTTTTATGCCACTAGATTCATCTCATGTTTCTTATATACTATTGTTGATATTTTAACATTTTTTAAACTTTTTTTTTTTTTTTTGCATTATAAAAATATTATTGATCTTTAGTTCTTAAAGATCTTAAGAATATTTTTATTTGAAATATTTCTAGATATATTTGACATTTTAAATATAAAAATTTTACTTAAAAAAAAAGTATGTTAAATTGCAGTTTACGTTTTTTTTATATAAAATATTTTCTGAGGTTTTTCTGTATTTTTATACAGATTTTTGTTTTGTTTTCTAAAACTTCTTTGGTCATTCTTGATGTTTTCTGGTTTTATCTTTACTTTTTTTTAAAAATGTTTGATATATTTTTAGATACATTTCACATTTTTCTATTATTATTATTATTATTATTATTATTATATTTATTACATTTTGTATGTTTATATTTGGCTTTTTTTTTTTTAAGATTTTTTAAATTAAAATTTCAGATTTTTTTAGAAGTTATTTGACATTTTTGACTTTTATTTTTTTTTAGATTAATTAATCAATTGATGACCAACTCACAAATTAATCACAGATATTCTGATGATACAGTTTTTTCTGGTTTCTTTACTTCTTGTGACACTAAATTGAATTTTTTTGGACAGAACCAGACATCTTGGACTTTGGGGAAACACTGAATCCAGAAAATAATCAGCTCATTAATCAGAGATGAACCTGGACTTTTACTTTGATTTAACTACACTTTTGCTGTTGATGTAAGTTGATTTCACTTGTAGGGGAGTTTTTATCATCTGAATACTTTCCATCCAACATGCAGGATCTTTGTGTGACTTAAAGCAGTTTTAAATGCAGAAATCCTAAAAGTCTTCATTCACTGAAACATTCCAGCTGTGTGGTGTGCAGCCTGACGGGTTAAAACCAGACATAAAGTCTAACATAAACCCCTCCAGATCTAAATCTTCACTGCTTTTGTTTGGAAACTCAAAAACAGAATCAGTTTGGCTCCTTCTAGGAAAAGAAAATTCTTTCCAGGAGTCTCCTGCAGTCAGAGTCTGAACTGGTGGAAAAAAGGGGAAGAAAAGGGAAGAAAAGCTGAAGTAGGAGGAGATGATTTGTGGTCTGACTTCACCGCCTCACGTTTTTCCCTCCATGTGCCAAGAAAATGGGAAACAAAGCTCCCTCTTCGTCCTCCTCCTCGTCTGCAGGCCTGGAATCTGACACCACTCGGGGGAGAACACAGCAGCTTCGACCTCCAGCTTTGCGGCTCCACACACTGATGGAAGCAGTTTATTCTGGCAGAACGTGCGACTCAGCTCTTTCCAAACCGCCTCACGTGAAGCTTTTTCCTCTGAGCTCCTCGTGGGCTTCACAAACACAAAAACTGCAGGTAAAAATAGACAAGCGGAGGGTCCGACTGTTCACGAGCCTGTTTGTGAGCCAGCTCTGTCCTGAATGTAGGTCAGGAAGCCCGGCTCGGTAAACTCTGCCTGCAGGACCAAACAGAGCGCCGCTGTTCGTCCAGAAGCTCCTGAGCCAAGTCTGCTCCGTGGTGGGATACCGTCGTAAACACGGGCGTGTCCGGAGTCCTTCGTTTGAATCGATGAGGCCTGTTGAAGGGCTGCAGCTGTTTGAAAAACACTCGTCACTGCCTGGTAACACGTTACCTGATCGTTTTCTGTCTCCTGCACAAAGAAAGCCTCCCCGTTGTCGCCCAGCTTCATGTGCAGATCCACCGGCTCGCCATTGATCTCCATGTCGACCTGCAGCAGGAGACCAGAGGGAAGGTCAAGAAACCAGAGCAACAAGACCAGTTTCCTCCTTAGAGGCAGTGAAAAACTGGAATCTATATCCATAAACATTAAAGATTCAGGAAGTTTTGCAGCATTTAAAACTTAAATTTATTGTTTTTAGTGATTCTATTTATTTTCCAACACTGATAAATTTTTATGTTTTACATTGTTTTAACATTTTTTAAAAAATATTTCTACATTTTTAAAAATTATTTATTTTCAATATTTTAAACTTTATTGTAATTTTTTAAACATCTCTTTATTTTCTTGGACAATCAACTGATTTAAGATTTTTTTTAAATATTTTTTTTATTTCTATACTTGTTAAATATATATTTTCATTTCATTGTTTTTTTTGTTTTTTTTAACATATTTTTTTGAAAAACATCTCTTTATTGTCTTGGATATTCAACTGATTTAAACTTTATTATTTTCAAAAATTGTATTTGTTTTTAACATTTAATATATTTGACATTTTAAATATACATCTAGAAAAAAGATATGTTGACTTTTTTAAAAAAAAATAATAATTTGATGCTTTTTAATTTAATTTCGGATTTTTTTTAATACTTTTTTTTTTTTTTTAAACAGATTTTTAAAATATTTTTTCTGGGCTATGTAACTGTGTATGTCGTTATTGTTCTGTGGTAGTTCTATGTTTTTGTACTGGCTCAGGGACAACAGATGCAAATTAGCTGCTAAATATGCAGCAATTTCTTTTAATTGTGCACCGTTCCTGCAAAATAAATGAATAAACAAAAACAAAACAAAGTCTGACATTTAAGGCTTCACTTGTCCTGAGTAGAAACATTTGGTTAAAGGTGCTGCATTGAATTTTGTAAATAAAATAACCCTTTATTTTTTTTGAGCTCTCTCTCCGTCCTCGTGCTGCAGGACTTTACAAACAGAATAAACTCTGAGTTCTGGTCTCACCACTTTCTCTCTGGACCGCAGGACACCCATCTTGCCGAAGCGAACGTGGAACGGCGAGCACTGCAGCGATCCATCGGGCTGCCGCACCACGATGACGTCGATGCAGCCGGACAGCGTGGCCGGGTTCAGGCCTCGGTAAAGCTCCTTCACCTGGACGAACACCTGGCCGGCCAGCTGGCCCACGTAGTTCATGGTCAGACGGGTCTGGAGGAGAGACAGGAGACGAGATTTAACAAAAACACTTTTACCTGCACTGTAAAGACTTTTAAACAGCTTTAACTCCAATAATTTAAAGTTTTTTTGGTGTTTGTGTGTAAGAGTTCAGCATCAGAACAAAAGCCCCGTTAATGCGGTTTGGATCACACGGCGCCGACCTTCTCCGTGTTTACGAGCTGAACTCTGTGGAATCTTTCGCTCCGTCGGTCGGTTACAACATCAGGACGAGACAGAAGCTGGTTTCTGCCGTCTGGAGTCTGTCCGGCTGTTTCCACCCAGACTAAAGAGGTCAGAGGTCGGACCGACTCGGAGCGGCCGTCCCGCTCGACTGCCGGTGATGTCACGACTTTTCCACGATGCTCATTGGCTGAGTTCAGACCACAGAGTCACGAGAAGTTCAAGGACACTGAAGGACGAAGCTGAAGACGTCTAGATGTTGTTTAAACTGTGAAAATTTGGCCAAACAGTGGAAAACTTTACCTTAAAAACTGGAAAAATAACAGAATTTATGAATAGTTTTGAGCAACGGCCGACGTTTTTACAACGTCTTTAGTTTAAACTCTTTTGGAGCAAAGAATTTCTGTCCTGATGAGTCCTTAAAACGTCTCCTCGGTCTGGTTCTTGAGGCGATTAGATCAAAGCGAACATAAAACATTCCACATCTCCACTTGTTTCTCCACCAACAGCCTCATAATTAAGGTTAAATGGACGCTTTTGTCTTAAAATTATCTCCAAAATACCTTCAAACATCCTTTATTTTGAGATCAGATCCGTTCTGAGCAACATCTGGCACCAGAGTTTCATCTTTTCTTACATTAAAGATGATCTGAAGGTGTTCTGTAGATTACTTTAAGACAAACGTGTTTATCTAATGTTAGTTTTGCAGAAGGTGATGGAGGTTTCAGTCATACAAACACCTGAACAGCAGCTCAGGGTTTCAGGATTTAGACGTTTTTCCCTCCAATAAACACGTGAAGGAACTTTTTCTGTGCATGAATAAAGACGTTTGCAGCATAAAGTGATGCAGAAAAGACACAGATTTGTGCATAAAAACCTCGTCAGCGGCTCCTTTCTTCCACATTTCTGTTTTGTTGAGTCCCTAAAATGCTTTTACAGTCCGACTGTGATGAGGGACACGACCTCCTGCTGGATGCAAACTAAGATCTCGACTCATTTTTCTACCAGCAGCCTCATAATAAACAAGACCCGAAGGTATTTTGAGGATTATTTCAAGACAAAACCGTCATTTTAACCTAATTTCTGCAGGAACTGACTGGATTATTGAGGTCTCTGTGATGCAAACACCAGGTTTACCTCATATGTCTGCATTCTGTGTTTCCTTTTCCATAAACAAAGTCATTCACAGCTTAAATCGAAGCAGAAAAGACACAAATTGATGCATAAAATCCTCCTCAACGGCTCCTTTCTTTCACATTTCTGTTTTGTTGAAATGTATTTACAGTCAGGTTGTTATGAGGGACATGATCTGTTAGAGGCAAACATAAAGTATTCTGCAGACAGATAAAGGTTTTGACTTGTTTTTTCTTCCATTAACCTCGTCATAAACAAGATCTGAAGGTATTTTGAGGATTAGTTTAAGACAAAAGTGTCATTTTAACCTAATTTCTGCAGAAACTGACTGGATTATTGAGGTTTCTGTGGAGGTTTAGCTGCTTTCTGTGTTTCCTTCTACATGAATCAATGCATGAAAACTTTCTCTCTGCCTTCCTGCATCTTTAAAATCTCTCTGAAGCGGACCAGGGTCCCGACCTCGGCTCGGTTTGGCCCCTAAATGGTTGCAGAAGCAGGAGGAAGGACGCCAACACGTCCTCCTGGATCCGTGTGAACAGCAGAGGAGGCCCCGGCCCAAGATGTGGGGCCCTAATTTTAGAGCCTCTCTCATGAACGACCTTCACTGTGGTGAATAATTAATTGAATTTTCCACCGAAGCATCGAGTTACACACTTGTGCTGCTGCTGCTGAGCGAAGCAGCAAACACAGGAGTTTTGGTGCAGACTAAAAATAGACCGTCTGCTGCTGCCAGAGATGAAAGAGGAACGATCAGCGTCTGAGCTTCAGCAGTCAAACCAACCTTCACTGAAGCAGCAGCAGCAGCTTTTAATGGATTTACAAGCTGCACAGACTTTTGTCTTTAAAGCCCCACATTTCTGCACAGACATCTGGGCTCATATGGCAGCACGTGTGTCTGCAGCTCTCTCACATCTACAGCGGGAATGAAACGCAGAGGATGGAGGTAAACAGCTGACTCATCCCCACAGATGATCAGAGTCAGACAGGCAGCTGCAGGTAGAAAACCAGGAACATACCTCGAGAAGTGACAGAATAATCCAGCAGCTCTAACAAACACACACACGGCGGCGTTTCCGTCCTCAGACCCCGACAGCAGCGGCAGCAGCAGCAGCGCGGCTCAGCGCTCGGAGCTCCGCTTCACGCGTAAAGACGCACCATCGGAGCCGAAGCGTCTCCTCCTGTGACTGACTCCGACTCCGCTTCAGCCCGCAGCTCTGGCACTGCACGGTGACGTCACCCGCAGCCCGCCGGCCAATCAGAGAGCAGCTGGGTGAGTTGGGCAACGCGAGCAGCGGAACAGCTGAGCGGGCGCGTAAAAGTGTCGGAGCTTCGTGGCATCTTCTGCTGGACGCTGCGCTCATTACATCACCGCAAACATCCCGCAAATCTGGAGCAGGAAGGTGGTAAACAGACGCAGAGAGAGGCCCGTAGATACTTTCAGCGCAGCCGTGGAGGAGTTTTTGCGCCACTCCTCAGCTCTGTCCTCCACATGATCACAAAACAAACTGCGTTTATCGGCTGACAGAAGCAATTAAAGCAGTTTTCCAGCTGCCAAACCGAGACTGCAGCGCCAACATCTGGTCTGAAATGGTACTAATGCACCAAAACAACAGCTGATTTCACTCACGAGGCTCATGTTCAGAAGATTAAGTTGAAAACTAATTTATAAATCACGTTATTGGGCCCAAACGAGGATGTCTGGAGTCTGGTTTTAATGTTATTTTACATTTAACATGTAAATTAAAAGAATGAATCACTGTTTTTAAAAATACTCATTTATAAAGTGGACATTATTTAAACCTTTAGCCTGAATTTCATAAAGTCAAACATGTGAATTTATTTATTTTTTTTTGTGATTTTAAAAGATATGATCTGTAATATAACAAAACAGGGAATATTTTTTTTACATTTTTAAATCATAATATATTTATTTTTTTCTTTTTAGAACACACAAAAAAGATTTAAATACAGTAAATAATTGTGCAATTTTAAACTAAAGATGTTTGATGTTATGCTGAATTTATTCATTTATTTCCACAGTGAACGTGTAAATTAATCTGTTTTTTTCAGTGTTTTTACTTTAAATTAACTAAACAAGTTAAATCTGTAAAATAAGATTTTTTTTTACAGTGTGGATGAGAGAGACGAATAAAACAATAAAATACAAACATTCAGCAGCACAAGCAGTCAAACATCATAATAAAAATAAAAATTAAAATAGACGATAAGCTTTTGGAGGAAGAAAGTTTTAAAACTTTACAGAAGCTTCTAGTCACTGATTTAAGGAGAAAACTAAAGAGCTGACTGAGCAAATGTCTGTTTGTGGGTCAAATTAAAAGCACATAAACTCTTAGAATCCATCAGACATTCAGCGTTTGGACCCTCACAGCTCAGAGAACACGTTTCCGGTTTCAGAAGCCTCAGGAAGGTGAGTAACCTCCAGCCAACAGGTGACAAACTGTCTGAGTGTTTCCACCCAAGCGGCCCAGCGGTGAGGTGATCCGTCCGACCAATCACAGGCCGGCCTCAGGTCACGTGAGCCGTTAGCTGTTTGAACAAGATGTGGTTCATCAGAGCTGCTGAAGAACCAACAGCAGGCTGAAGAAACAGCTTAAAGCTTTAGCTTAAAGTGCAGTTAAAACACTCTCAGGTTGAAGTTAGTGGATCAAAATAAAAGATGTGTTCATCAGTAAAGTTCCATCTGGAGTTATAATTTGCTATAAAACTGCAAAGTGAAAAAAAAAAAAAGTTCAATGGAGTGTAAAGGAAATACTAAAGAAGAATTCATGGGATCTTTTCTGCTGCTTAATTAAACACATTGTGAGATTTAAAAAATAATACAGTTTATTGATAAGATGAACTTTAATGATGTTTTTAGGGTTGAAATTATAAAGTTCAGCTTCATATTTGGAGTGATTTAAACTCAAAGGTAACTTCAATCAAATCAGCTCGATAACTTTATTTTTTAGTCTCCTTTCCTTCCTACTGAACAACTCATTGTGTCCATAATCACAGTAATCAGGTAAAGAACACTTTGAAATGTCCTCATTAATTCTGATCATTTTTATTATTATCTTTATGGTTTTCTGCAAGGTGGATCAGTGGTTAGCACCGTGGCCTCACAGCTAGAAGGTCGCCGGTTCACGTCCCGGTGAGGACACCCGGGATCTTCCTGCGTGGAGTCTCCATGTTCTCCCCGTGCAGCGTGGGTTCTCTCCGGGTTCTCCGGCTTCCTCCCACAGTCCAGAAACATGCTGAGGTTAATTGGTGATTGTAAATTGTCCGTAGGTCTGAATGTGAGTGTGCTTGGTTGTCTGTCTCTAAGTGTAGCCCTGTGATAGACTGGTTACCTGTCCAGGTGAACCTGCCTTCACCCTGAGTCAGCTGGGATAGGCTCCGCCCCCCATGACCCTAGTGAGGGTTAAGGTGTCGACATGATGGATGTTTAAAGGTGTGTGATGTCTGCAGGCATTAAATGAGATAAACTGAAACTAAACACACTGAAGCTACAAACCGACAACAACACACACCACCAACACACACCACCAACATACACCACCAACAACACCATCAACACACTCCACCAACACACACCATCAACACACACCATCAACACACTCAACACACACCACCGACACACACTCGTATCCGTCTGTGAAGCTCGTTTCTATTTTTGC